AACGAACCTTTACCCATTGTTAAATTGAGGATGCAGGCAATGAACCTAAACCTTACATACCAGTTTGATAGATTTTGATAGGGATTTGAGTTTCTGCCGCCTTGGGATCTGCTTAAGCCGATTGGCGGCATCGTTTTTTGGATGGGTCCAGGTCGTGATTTTTGCGAAGCATGGGAGCCCGGCCGGTGAGTTGGGGATGTTAGCCTGAAATTGATGGGGAGTGGTGATGTAAGAAATGATGAGACATCTATAAAATGTGAAATGACACATGCATCACATGTTCTGATCAGGTTCATATCTTAAAGTGTCAGTGCGCGCCTTCAAACCTACCATATTTCCCCAGGAAATGGTTCGGTCACACCAAGTGCGGCAACGTGCATGCTCTCGGAAGGTTCCGAACTCCACAGGATATCAGCTATCATGGCTCAATGTCAAGACCATGTCGAGTCAAGAGTTCCATCCCCCAAGATGAAAAACACACAGCCATGTGAGGTCATGTGCCCCCTGTCCTATCCTGTCTTCTCATGTTTTCTCATGTCTGTCCATGTCCACCCCACAGTTCCGCAGTTTCCGGCCATTGCGATGCATCATTCACTTCGCTTTGCTTCAGGTCATGGTGCCCATTTTGCACAGAAGCCAGCATCATTTTGCAGTCTCATGGTGTGATGGACCTCAAGGTGGCTCGATGCACACCCAGAAATATCAGAAATCACATGCCATCCGCAGCTGTGAAGATTGTGAACATTGTGAAGGTAGTGGAAGCCGACCACTGTCCAGATGAGTTGGAGTTCATGAATGCCCTGAAGGGGATGACAGAACTCAAGGTCGTACGTCTCGCTGGTGATGGGAAATGTGGAGGGGGTTGATTGGTGGAGCCATTCTGCGAATTCTGCGCTTCCGTTTAGGGCATAATTTTCCAAGAGACCGAGAAAGTTCAAGGAGCATTAGCTGCCCAAAATGCTGTGATTGACTCGTGATGATGTGCTTCTCAATGACTCAATGACACGTAGTTTTTGGATGACGGTATACGATGATTCAACTGTTAGATTCTGATGATTCTGTTTCTGGTTGAATTGCTTTTGACGCAACACACTTGGGAAGATTTGGACTGTGATTGCATCGCGCTGTCCAAGCTGTGATCTGGTGTGCCTTGGAACTGTGATCTCCATGCCAGACACTGCCACAAATCTTCGTGGATGGAAAGATAATCCCAGGCAGGCAGGGAGACTTGAGATGCTTTGAGTCTTGAGTGGGTTTTGATCTTTTGCAACACCAGCAGGACATGAGTTAAAAATTGTTTCCGTTGCCCAGAAACTTGGCTTTTGCATGCTTCTTTTGGGGAAAATCATGAGAAACCCTGGCCCTAGCACTTATCAAATGACGTGAAATTATTGAACAGTTCAGCAACATTCAGCTAGAATTAACATGAACTAACTAGATGTAACTAAGTGACAGTCTAGTGACTAGCGGAAAACCGATGAAAACAGCTCGAAGTTCAACTCAGATCGAGAGGGGACAAGCCCGGCTGCTTCGATCGCTTGGATGCTCTGCGAGAGAAGGATGCCTTGAAACCGTTGCTTTCAGAGGCGCGAGCATCGCCACAGCACGCTAAAGTCAAGCACACTGTACCAACTGCTGTACCTCACAAATCCCCACAAGATCCCACAAGCACATACAAGCACTTCATTGAAAGGTGAACGATCGGGGATCTTTAGCGGTACATAGATCCAAATGGCGGCTGTAAATCGCGTTATGGTACGGTATGTCTTCATGTCACATGCTCATATGCTCCACATTGCTTCACCAGCAGATGATTGTTCCCATTCCTAAGGAACTTGCAGTAGCTAGATCATGCTAGATCAGAAGTTGTTGCAGTGATTGTTTCACACTCCAAAGCGAAGAAGGAGGTGTTTAGCTGTTTGCATTTGTTTGTATTTGGACTTGTCCTCGCTGCACCAATCATCATCAATTCATATCGCTTGTCACCGCTTGTCCTTGTGATGTGACTGCGACCTTTTGGAGCTCCAGATGCTCCAGATGCTCCAGGCAGGTGTTGTGGACAAAGAGATGGATCTTCCTCCAGGCACCTTCGATTACGACCTGTTCGTCGTGGGAGGTGGCTCTGGCGGCGCGGCAGCAGCTCTCGAGGCTGCAAGGCGCCCGCATCCGGTTGCCCACTGCGATGGGATCTAGAGAGATAGAGCGAAAGAATAGCGAAAGATAGAGAACGTAAATATGATTGGTTGATATTGAATGATATTGATTGATATTGATTGATATTGATTGTGCATGTGAGTGTTGTGCAATAGCTAACAATAGAATTCAATATTGTAAACTTGTAAATAGTGTGAAGATACAAATAGATTTCATATTTGCCTCTACACTTATACATATCCACCTAGTTTTTAGTACTATATGAATGGATGGATAAATAGATGAACATAGAATAATATGTGTAAGTTTGAATAAGTATATATGTCTGAGTGCACATCTCACGCAGTGATTGAGGGTATAGCATGGTATAGCGATAGAAGATGATAGCAAAGATACGCTGTTTACACATGTGCTGCAGTTCATTCTTGTCATCGCCCTTCTGAGTGAGCCAGGGACATTTTCAAGCGAGTGGCAGTGGCTGATTTCGTGAAACCATCTCCCCAAGGGACCACTTGGGGTGTTGGCGGCACTTGTGTCAACGTGGGTTGTATCCCCAAGAGCCATGGCATCGTAGAAGGGGTTGAAGGGGTTGAAGGGGTTGAAGGATGTGGGGAAGCATCGGAAACCTATGGTTCACACTGATTTTCCCAGATGACACACGCGACGCGCTTCCAAATATATCCAAATATCTTTCCACCACTTTCCACTTTTATTCCAGATGGTTGGCTAGTAAATTGACCATGTAGGCTTATGCTTTGCATCCAGGCTAAAGAGCTTAACTCCCAAGATGCTGGATTTTGCTCCGTTTTTGCAATGTAAGCTTGCTATGTTGAAACCTTTGCTCTGCAAACTTGCAGTGCAAGTATGAGGGACTGAAACCTTTGCAAGGTAAACTTGCAATGTGGGGGCAAGAGGGTAGGTGTAGGCTGTTGGTGGATCAACATCCAACCATGTGGCCCCACTTGGCTTAAGGATGTGATACTGAGACTTACACTTCTTACATTACTCTACTTAGCTTTGCTTTACTTTACCTGTACCTCACTTTGCTTCACTTCATTTCACTTCTTACTTACTCACTTACTTCCTTAGGTACCTACTTTCTTGATTACGTACTTGCTTACTTACTAACAGGCTTGGCTTACCTTAACTTAGCTGCTTTTGCATTTATCTTGCCAAAAGAATGTGTCCACCACCCAAGATGCAATGCTGCATGACAAGTGACACTACCCCCCCTGACACTACCCCCCTCAAAATAATAGCTTATTCTGAAAATCCAAGTTCCTCGGATTTATGTTTGTTCAGTGCTTATTCTGGGGTGTTTGTTTGTTGTAAAAACAAAGAGGCTTATTCTGACCTCAGAATAAGCATGTAGCAAGGCACCAAAAAGTGATAAACCCTAATTAGGGCTAATCACTTTTTTGGATGTTTTTCGCGCCCAAAAAAGTGATTAGCCCTAATTAAGGCTTATCACTTTTTTAAGTCTTTGGCAGCTAAATGAATTTAAGGCTGCTTTGGCAAATTCTTGCCCATGCCTCGCCGGCCTTTTTGTTTTTGCTCTTGCAAAACAACAGCTCAAAAAAACTGGTGTGCGCTTTCTAGTTGGACAAAATGTATTCGTTTGTTTTGCATAGTCGACAAATCTAAAAAATACAATTTTTGCTGGGAGGTTTGCTATGTTTTTGCTATGTCATTGCTCTGTTTTTGCTTTGCAGCAACTGATTCGATACTTTTTGATGGTTTTTGTTGCAAATAGCTTGCAAATAGCTTGTATTTTTGCTTTCCAGCAGCTAATTCTATACTTTTTGATGGTTGTTGTTGCAAATAGCTTGCAAATAGCTTGCAAAAATGAAATACAAGCTATTTGCAAGCTATTTGCAACAACAACCATCAAAAAGTATAGAATTAGCTGCTGCAGAGCAAAAACAGAGCAATGACATAGCAAAAACATAGCAAACCTTCCAGCAAAAATTGTATGTTTTAGATTTGTCGACTATGCAAAAATGTTGCTATGTTTTTGCTATGTGTTTGCTATGTTTTTGCTTTGCAGCAGCTAATTCTATATATATACTTTTTGAATCTTTTTGATGGTTGTTGTTGCAAATAGCTTGCAAATAGCTTGCAAATAGCTTGTATTTCTTCATTTTTGCCAGCTATGTGCAACAAAAAAAGGAAGAAACACAAGCTATTTGCAACCTATTTGCAACAAAAAATTAGCCGCTGCAGAGCAAAAACAGAGCAATGACATAGCAAAAACATAGCAAACCTTCCAGCAAAAACAGCACTTTTTGGATTTTGTCGACTATGCAAAAATTTTGCTATGTTTTTGCTATGTCAAAACATTTGCTCTGCAGTTTTGCTATGTATTTGCTTTGCAGTTTTGCAATGTCAAAACATTTGCTCTGCAGTTTTGCTATGTATTTGCCATGCAGTTTTGCTATGTCAAACATTTGCTCTGCAGTTTTGCTATGTTTTTTACTTTGCAGTTTTGCTATTTCAAAACATTTGCTTTGCAGTTTTGCTATGTCAAAGCATTACGTAATTGGTTTACTTTTCGGAGTTGCAGGTTTACGCATTAGTCTTTAGTACATACATACATACATACATAAATACATACATACATACATACATTTTCAACATGATGTACATTGCATGCTTTACAGACAGGCATACATTACATACCGGTATTTCATACATCACGTACATTACATTCATTACTTACATTACATGACATACTGTATCATATATCCATTATATACATACATTACATGCATTAGATACATACATAAATGCACCAGATCTTATACTCATGAAACTTTCATTCATTATACATCACATACCTTACATGTCTTACATACATACCTTAAGTCTTGCACATAACTTACCTGACGTACCTTACACCTTACACTTATGCACTCTACTCTACATACATAACATTATCATTACATGCCATACTACCTACCTACATGCATTACATACATTCAAAATCCACATCTGGATTTACATCACAAACATGCGATGCAACTGGATTTACATAGCAACACCACAATGCAAATACATAGAAAAATAACATATTTGGCTTTAGCCTACAACGCAAAGCATAAATGTAGGCTACTTGCATTTTATATTATTATTGTCTATTGTATATATATATATTCATAATTGGGATTAATTGGGGTTCACTCATACAAAGGCAATATAAGTGAGGGTGTAAGCAGGTACTGGCTGACACCATCATACCACCAGCATT